ACCTTTTAATGGGGGTTAATGAGAGCGTAATGAAGATAAATGATCATCCATAGTTCTGTTGGACTCCCTAACTCCCAGAGCCATGTCCTATCTGTGAACCCAGATACCTTTCAGGTAAATATAGTTCATCCTTGTATATCCAACTTCACTGGGACCCAGTACAGTTCAGATCATTGACATCTGCATACTCTGGATGTGTTGTAGAATGTATTTTTTTCTATATAAAGGATTAGCCATTGTAAAATTTCGATGAGACTGTAAACAGTTGCATAGAATCCAGTTTACTGTGGATAAGCACTCCCCGTTCAGATGGAGGAAAAATTACTTTATCCTAATTGCTTCACATAATAAACTAGAGATTTCAATAAACAGGCCAGGATAAATGGTTTGTTTGGTATAATCAAATCAGTTTACAAGAATCAAAGGAAGCCCAGGTGATCGCATTTCTGTGCAACTTTTGCACTGAGCTCTGGTACTCATTTAGATATTTACACATTGCTGAAAAACAATATATTGTGTGTGTATTTTTGTGTATACCTTTATTTTGTGCAAACTTGTTAGAGCGTCTATACCAAAATGATTGTCTGCTGTCCTAAATAGTCGTTAGGGGTTAACAATCTTACTAGAAGTATTTTGTAGACTTCCTAGCTTGAAATTATCTTCAAAGAGAGTTAATCATCTATCATTTTATATTTTATATTTACCCCTAATTTTGGCCCAAAATGTTTCTTGCCAAGTGGATCATCTTCCTTATGCATTAGAGACATCCCAATAACTTTTTGGCTGTTTTAACAAGTCAAATTTACCTTAAAGGTTCAACATTTGTCATTGATGAATTCTTGAAGTGGGCATCAAGCTTGGTGACTAATACCTCCAAAATTGTCCTGACGATCTTTTGTAAAATGGTAGCACCACAAGCACTGAGATATAGATATTTACAGTTATTTTTAACCTTTCTGGGGTCATAGATTCACATGAGAATGTGATCAAAAATTATTTCCTTCCAAAAACTTAATATATGAATATATAAACACACTTTTGTAAATCTTGCCAAAAGGTTTTCTGAATTCCTGGAGCACACCCAGGGATCCTCTGGGGCTAAAAATGTTTGTTCTAAGTGAATATTTTGGGAAAAGATACTATTTATTTTGATTTATTACATAGATATGTTTATAAAAATTTCAGTAGTTTCATCATTTGTCATCACAGATTAAATCCATTCATGTACTAGTCCATGTAGATATGTGTGATTGACTGCATTAAAAGTAGCCTACTTTGGGGAATTTCTATTTTATGGGTTTTTTTCATTTTATTTTAATCAATTTTAAATATTCTTTTAAATCTTTTTCAATTTTCTTTATGGGAGGGTTTTTAAAAAAATTTATGAAAGCATTTCCTTTTTATTCTTGTTAATCTTCGAAGCACATCTATGTATAGACCTTTGGCTTGAATATTTGATTTAATAATTGCATTTAAAAAATCTTTAAATATGACATTGACCTCAAAGATTCTGAAAGTCAGAATCTACATATAAATTTAATTCTAGTTTCTGCTATTTATTCAAAAAGAAAAAAAAACACTGATTAAATATCAGAATTAGATAATAACTTTTGTGTTTTTTAACATGACCAAATGATAAGGTACTACAAGAATTTAGTATAAACAACTACATTTTTTTAGTTGTAGATGGACACAATATCTTATTTATTTATTTATTTATTTATTTATTATGTGGTGCTGAGGATCAAACCCAATGCCTCACGCATGCAAGCCAAGCGCTCAACCAGTGAGCTACAACCCCAGCCCCAAACAACTACATTTTTAAGGGTAGTTTATAGAACTTTCATAGAACTGATAGTCATCTTAGTTATTGAATTTATAGTTGTAAAATAAAAGGACTGGTGTCTTAGTTCATGTAGATTTCTATAACAAAATTCCATAAACTGTATAACTTGTAAACAACCAAAAAACATATCTTTCTCACAGTTCTAGGAACTGGGAAGTCCAAGATCAAGGTGCTGGCAGAGTTAATGATGTCTGGTTGAAGACCTACTTTCTAGTTCATAGACAGAGCCTTTTTTTTTTTCTTTTTTTGATACCAGAGATTGGACCAAGGGGTAGCAGAGTCACATTCCCAGCACTTCTTATTTTTTATTTTGAGGCAGGCTCTCACCAAGTTGTTTAGGTTCTTGCTGAATTGCTGAGGGTGGCCTCAAACTTGCAATTCTACTGCCTCAACCTCCAAAGTGCTGGGATTACAGGCACACCCAGCAGATAGCCTTCTTTCTGTGCCTTCACATAGAGGAAGAGATAAAGTGTCTCTCAAGCCTCTTGGTAAGAGAACAATTTTCTTCATGACCTATTCAACTCCCAAAGGCACACTCTCTAATGCCATCACTTAGGGATTAGGATTTTAGCATATGAATTTGGGAAGAGGGGGACACAAACTTTCAGACCATAACAAACAGATATACTTTCTTTCTCTATCATGAGAGATTATTTCATATTCACATACCATGAAGCTTGCATTTCCCCCCTAAACAGAAAACCTACACTGCTGCTTCAAACCCATAACTAAGCATAATGTTTTAAGATCAATGATTTAAAACATAAAGAATCAAATCCAGTCTTGCTAAAGTCTATGGAAGTTCAAATAGCCCTTTTAATAGAGTAAATCTCTAGGAACAATCTTTCATAGCTACCTGGTTATTTGTGAATACTATCACAAGCTTATAGTTTTCATCCTACGTTATTGACAGATGTGCAAATAGGACCATTTCAGAAGAAGAGTCTCACATACAAGACAGACTGGGTTTGGAGATGTGTCATGTTGACATGAAGTACTTGTCATCAAGCGAATATGTATATTTGTGTGCACACATAGAATACACTCAAATATTCCATCTCTGAAATGCATACTTGCTTCACTGGTTATATTTAATTTATTATCAGGATACATCTTAGCATGGGGATATCTTGGATTCAATGAAATGCATTATATAGATTACATACAGAACATCAGCTCAGAAGGTGCCTTGGTAATGTTAAATCAATCTCCCAAGGAAATTGAAAAGGGTAATTTGCTGAAGACACAGATTTTGGTGACAAAAACAGATGCATCCCAGTGATTAATTTTTCAAATGCTTTCCACTCATGTGAATCATTTGATCACAAGCTTTAAAAATGAATGTAAATTATCTTTTAAAAAACATTTCTTAAGTAATATGTGGTGCAGAAACATACTGTTTATGTAAGTTAAAAAGCGATTAATTATTGTTCAGTGAAAATGAATAAATTCCAAATATATGTAAAATCTTAGATAATCCTAAAATGTTAATACTGAAATGAGTGTTCTAAAAGACAATATATCAAAAAATAACATTGTCCTATAAATGAGTAAAACTAAAACACTTTCACATTTAAATTGTAGCCTAATAGAGATAGTTCCTTTTTCAATCATTGTTTATTTTCACTATTAATGTAGGAAAAAAAGCATTTGAAGGATTTTTTTTTAGTCCACATGTTAGCTCCAAAATTTAAAAAGCACATTTTAATGGGAGTTGGTTTAATACAATTTGACATGAGTGAGATAACAATTTGAAAAATGTGTCTATACTCAGTTTTGCTTCTAAATTTTGACTTTTAAACTTATTGTCAGTCTCAGAAAGAAATAAGAAGCAGTGAAGATAATTAAACATTTGCCTTGGGGGAATTATTTGCAGTTAATTAAAACCATACACTTCGGGTGTATACTTGCTTCACTGGTTATTAAATTTGAATCATATGTTAACTACCCAGGTTTCTCACTTGTCCATCAAATGTTGCTTGTGGCAGGGCAAAGAAACAAATTTTCTCATAATATTCCAAACCATAACGTTTGAAGCTCTCTGTCTCCAAGTTTTGAGTGGGAGGGAACAAAAGAAAGAGAGGGAAAGGGAAACAAGGAGAGAATGATTATTTTAGACTCTAAGTCATGGCTCTTGAAATGCAACTTACAGATACAAACTCAGTAGAGAACTTATTTTTAAACAATACAGGTGTAGGTCTGTCATTTCCAGCTTTTTCTGTGGCCACATGCAAATAGGATTAACTAGGGGGTTTTAGATATTTTTAAATTACCTTCCTTTTGGCTATTTAAAAATATCTACTAGATTGTAAGCTCTATGAGGGCAGAGATTTAGTTGTATGTTCCCTATTGACTCTCTGGCACCCAGAACAGTGCCTGCCATATGGTAGCCCTTAATAAATATTTACAAATGAGTAACAGACCTATTTTATGCATTCCTGCCGACCCATTCATTGGCTCAATCCAGTGTCTTTTTGGAGAACCTCCAGAGAAACCTCATTTCAACATTCTAGCTTTGCAAGAGTTCATAGAATGCTTTTAGCCATGTTATTTCCTAGATAGTATATACTATAACCAAAAAAAGAGTGATATGATATGATAATTCCATACCTAAATGTGCTATATGTGGGAAAGAATGACATTGCTCAGAACAGAGGGTCTGCATTCCCTCATTGCTATTGTGCAACTCATATGGTACCTGGGAAAGATAATCATAATTACCACTGGATTTCCAAAGTGCTATTTCTGATTTTTTCAAGGACTCATGGCTTGCATATGTGAGCAACTACAGTACTGGAAACATTAAGAACATTAAAATTAGATATTCCTTTAATCTTCTCTATTTTGCCTTCCTTTCATATCCTTTCCTACAATTCTAACACTTTCACTGATTTATGAATCCTGCTTTATATTTTCTACTTTGTTGCAAACAGATGCCCCAACTACATCTCTACCTTTGTAAGCTTTGTGTGTATATCTCACAGGTTACTTTAAGAAAAGCTATTTATTAATGAAAATCTTTTAAGTATTTTAATGATTATTTTTTAAAAACTAGTAAATTCTTTTGCCCTGAAATATCTATCACGTTAGTACTAGAAGGTGCTCTTTTTTTTTCTCAGTTAAAAATGCTGATTAAATGTTTGTTTGTTGTCAGATTCTTCAAAGGATGACAATATTATAAAAGACAATGAACTAACAGATCATTCTGTGTGTGACCAAGATCATCCCAGTGGTAAGTTGTGAGATCCTTTTATCATTTTTTTTTCCTCTTGGAAAACATTCCATCTACAAAAGCAGGTTTGAGTTTTTCTGGAGAAAAATTGAATTCTGAGGTATTTTCTTAGTGCTGAACACCAGCTGATTGGTAGCTGACATCTTGAGATAGGGTTTCTGCTTTCCACAGTGTTCATTACCCATTATTTGTGTACCAGGCTGGCTTCATTTATTTTGCTTATTGTTACCTGCCTGTATTCTATAAGCATTGGGTTGGCAACTATTGAAATGAATGTGTGATAAGAATGAGAATAAATGTGAGCCATATGGAGAATAAACCCAGGAGATTAAATCTACATATCCTTGGAATACCAAGAAGACCGAATAGAACAAACAAATGAAGCAATCTTTAGAAAACTAATAGGAAAAAAGTTTTCCTAATGCAAACCAGTTTCTCTGCCCAAAACATGAGAGTATGCATTATATTTATAGGCAAATAAAATGAAAACTCAAATGAGAACAGACACCTACGTAGCCTCATGGAATTTCTGAAGATCAATGATAAAGGCTTTCAAAGCATACAAGAAAGTCTAAATCGGGTTATAAGTAATATCACCAGAATCAGATTAGCTTTAGCCTTCTTCTTCCGCAACCCCAAATGCTTAGAGAAAATGAAGTAACATTTCCAGAGCTCTAAAGGACACCGTTTCTATATTTAGTGATGTTATTATTCATGCATGAAGTCAAAAGTAATATTTTCTCAGGAATACAAAGATTAAGAAAATATGCTACCCAGATATCCTTTCTGAGTGAACTAACCAAAGGCCTGTACAAAAAACAATAAATATAGGAAAGAATGTAAAATCTAAAAACAAAAAGGCAAACAGTTGAAAGGAACTATATGGTCAGACCAATTAAATATATGAAAATGTTAACATAATTATTTCAAAATAAGCATCCAAATATTTCACCTAATTTTTTTTTTTTGAGACAGGTTTCATTTTTTGTTTTTTTGCTGCCAGGCACTGAACTCAGGGGCACTCAACCACTGAGCCACATGCCCAGCCCTTTTTTATATTTTAGTTATAGACAGGGTCTTACTGAGTAGCTTAGGGCCTCGCTAAGTTGCTGAGTCTGGCTTTGAACTTGCAATCCTCCTGCCTCAGCCTTCCCAGCTGCTGGGATTACAGGCAGGTGCCATGGCATCCAGTTGAGACAGGTTTTTCTAAGTTGTTGTGGGTCTTGCAAAATTGCTTAGCCTGGTCTCCAGCTTGTGATCATCCTACCTCAACTTTCCAAATACCTTAGATTACAGGCAAGTGCCACCATGCCCAGCTAGAAATATTGTAACTGAAATTTATGGTATATGCTGTTCAAAAATGACAAAAGTAAAAAATAGACTTCTACTATCAGAAATGAAAGTCAAAATAATGTAGGCCATTTCTCTCATTAAAGATAACTAGACAATTTAAATAAAACTATATATATATTACATGTATATGTGAAATGTTATCTGATTACATTATATATCATATGGTATTATGTTTATCACAGAAATACGTGTCACACGTAATATGTATCATTTAATAAATTATACACATATAAATTTTATATGTATTGTGTGAGGGGGAGAAAAAAAATGACAGAGTTAGAAAACATCAGAGGGTTGATAAGATAGCTAAGACTTATCAAACTAAACCCAGAATTTGAAACTCTTCTTTACCTTAGGATAAGGTAAGCATTTTTTGGCTGATTCTGCAGAAAATTGTCTGGAGTCCTACTGATGAAAAGGAAAAGGGACCGTACTATACCTACCACCCTATATTTTGGGCTGAAAACCTAAAGATACATATCCCAGAAGAATAAACCCACAGTATATCTATTTTCTGAAAGCTGTTTTCCATTTTCAAGTGATCTCCATCCCCAAATTAAATTAGGAACAGCTCAGATTGTCAACTCTTCCCAGGCACCTGAGAAAAACACTTGTGAAATATTTATTAGAGGAAAAAAGCACCTTGTAGACTTCAAACTTTTTTTTTTTCAAATTTGTGAAATATAATGTCTTGCTGGGCATGGAGGCATACACCTATAGTTCCACCAACTCCAGAGGCTGAGGCAGGAGGACTGTAGGTTTAAAGTCAGCCTCAGCACTTAGACAGGCCCTAAGCAATTTAGTGAAAACTCATCTCAAAACAAAAAAAGCTGGGAATGTTGCTCTGTGGTTAAACACCCCTGGGTTCAATCTCCAGTACCAAAACAAATAAATAAAAATATAAATCACATCTAGCACACACATACCAAAAAAGAGCTCCACACCAAAATGAGTAAATAAGATAACATGAAACAGAATATGAAGAAATGAGAGAAATAGACCCACATGAGCTGAAAATATTAGGGTTATAAGTACAACGTACAAAGTAATGGTGAAGACTGTGTATAAAGGAATAATGATAATATTGAAAATTTTATCTGAGAACTAGATATGGAAAAGAAAAAAAAGCCTAGAAATAAAAGATCCTATAATTGAAATTAATGATTCAATGAATAGATTTATGGTTTAATAAGATATTAGATGCAAATGAAAAAGAATTTGTGAACTCTAAGTTAGGTTAGAAGAATATATCCAAACTAAAAACAGCCGGCAAAAGGATAGCAAAGCCTCAAAAAAAGGAAAAGATCACATGTTAATGGAGAGAATTGGTCAGGAGCAACATTTGAAGAAACTATAATGAGAAATTTCCCACATTGATGAAGAACATTAGGCCAAATGTCCCAAAAGCCTTTTGAATTCAAAGCATAATAAATAAAAATAATTCCACAACTAGGTCTATTATAGTAAAACTGCAGAAACCAAAGATAAACAAAACTTATAAAAAGCAAATTTCACTTGTACCGATAGTTGATTTTCCCATAAATATAATGGAAATAAAATAACAGTACGGCAACATAGCTGCCAACCAAGAATTCTCAACCTAGGAGGGAAAAAAACATGTTTCAAGAATATAGGTTAATCAAGACTATTGCCAAACAAAATAAAAAGCATAGCTCATCACTGCTTTCTGGTGTTCTACAGTTAGGAACATACTCATTCCAAGTAGAAGGTCAAAGACAAAGGAAGGAATTAGAGCAAAGTAAATGGTAATTGGATAAATCAAAATGAATATTGATGGTACTAATCAATAGTGATAATAATCATAATGCCTTGTAGGAATTAAGATACACATTGCTTTAAAATATTCCACCATAATGACGTTTACTCAATAAGATAAATTTAAATGTTCTGGTGTTGTCCGGTGTCATGGAAGGTAATAGTACCAATTAATTTTCAAATTTTATAAGACTCATGCTTCCCCAAGAGTCAGGAAATGAGATGAGCCCTGTGATTGCCCCAGCTAACTGCCTGGAGAGTTTCTAGGTTAGGGTTCAGAGAAGAATGAGTCCAGCTCTGGCAGAGTCCTGAGGATATTTTACAGACTCTTATTTTCGTCCAGGAGACAGAACTAAAGATCCTGGGAAGCTAAAGTGGCAAGAGTTTGCAGGGCAGAGTAATGGAGAGGAGAGATTTATACACAGGGGACACCGCAGAGATCCCCAGAGGGAATGCGGCAGTCTTCCCCTGAGTACTCTTTAGTGCATGCATATTTTAAAGGGGACTACCCGAGGCTATGTAAATAGGCTAAATGGCTTTAGGGAATTATACCTGAAGTTTATATGGAACTGGAATGAGTGCCTATTGCCACCAGACCCTGGAAAAGTTATTAATTCACAGAGACCTCAGAAGAGTTTTGCTTCTGTAGTAGAGCAAAACAAGCAGTAGACCAAAGGCTACTCTCATCCTCCATCATAAACTTAAAATGTTAAGACATTAAAGGATCAAATTATTTCTGAGTGGGACTGGGGTTGTAGCTCAGAGATAGCTAGCCCTTGCCTAACATGTATGAGGCACTGGGTTTGATCCTCAGCCCTACATAAAAATAAATACAATAAAATATTGTCCATCTACAACTAAAAAAAAAAAAAAGAAAGAAAAGAAAAATTTAAAAAATGTTTCTGAGTAACCTAGCTAAATTTAAGAATTTAAGAATATTTATAAGTATATAAATATATCTCACATCCCACAAAGTAAAATTGACAAAATTTCCAGGAATGAAAAGAAGCAATTGGAAGATACTTCTCTGTGGCTCTTTCCTATCTCTACACATCTTGGGAGCAGAGGTCTGGTTCTGACCAGTTGTATCAAGAATGTTTATATAGCAAACAACCTTGGAAGACAGAGAACAGGCTTGCTGATAGCCTCAGAAGATAAGAGTAGTGTCTCCCTCAGATCAAAGAGCAGATATACTTAACTGTCCACAATAAAAGGTCCAGATTCTTGTCCACAATAAAAGATCCAGATTCTCCAGGTTCCCTTTGATACAACCCACCAAGTGTGCAACTATCACATATCCCCCTGATAATACCCTGAGGAAACTGTGCTCAGGGAATGGGAAAAAGTACTTTGGTTATTGCTATTGATCTGAACACTAAATTGTTCTTCATCTTTGACCTCAGAAATCTAAGTCTTTTGTCAGCATCCATGGAATCATGATGACTAGTTAACTTGTTAATTTGCAAGTAGATCAAAATCTCAGATCCTTCACAATATTTGACAGGAAGCAGGAATATAAGACTCGCAGCAGAAGTCAATTAATATAAATCAATTCAGAAGCAGCTCAGATGAGATAATTAGTATGACAGAACATACTAAAAGTTATCATAGCAGTATTCCATATCTCTAAAAAGCTAAAAGAAGTATTTATTATGTTAATTCATGACATGGAAGATATCAAAAGACCCAAATTGAATTTATAGTGATGAAAAGCAGTGTCTGAGGTAAATTACACTTAATGGAAAAACAATGGCAGAGAAGACACTATAGAAGAAAAGATTAGTGAATTTGAAGATGTAGCAATCCAAATTGAAACTATCCAAACTAAAACACAGAGAGAAAAAAAAAATAGCTGAAAAAAATGAGAAGAG